CAGTAGTAAACTGAACAGAGAGAAAAACTGTGTGTGTATTGAGGGCAGGTTTGAAGTACTATTTTTTAAAAAACAAAACAGTTCTTAATTTAGATAAAAAAAAAAAAAGATTATGATTAAAAGTTAACATTTACTCTCATCCCACTGAAGTCTTGCATACCAGAAAGGGCATTTGTGAGGTAACGTTATAACATGAATAACTGCATGATGCAGGAGGCAAGATGGAGAGATGGTTATTGTTGAAGATGATGGATCTGATATATGGGAGGATGGGCCTGGTGCTGGAGAGTCAGCATTTGATTCTGCTACTGGAGTCTACTGAAGTAGGCATCAAGGGAGATATGTACAGACAGAGATTTTTGTTTTCTCATCATAAATGGCCTTGTAGCAGGTAAGGCCCTTGGTAACTATATAGTTAACTTTGGTGAACCTCTGTGTATTAGGAACTTGCTCCTCTAACTTTGTCATCCCTGGTTCAATGACACTAAAGGCTTCAACTAATTCTTTCATCAAAAACTTTTTCCACTCTGGAATTTTTAGATCCCAGTCTTCTTCATCCAATGTCATCTGCTACTTAGTTCCATAATTTCTTCACTCTGATGTTTAACTGCAGTTGATTACCAATATCAACCACCACTTGCCTGGCTTTGGCAATGTCATCAGCTGTATACCCCTGAAAAGCATGCATGAATTGGGGCACAGTTTGGTCCACACTTCTTTCATATCTAACTGCTTCACTTCATCCCAAAATCGACAATATTTTCAATGGCATTATCATTCTTCCAGAACTCACTTAACTCATCACATCATCTTGAGTAGTCCAGACTGCTGGTGGGAAAGTCTGCCACAAGTAATAGGCCTTAAAAGAGGCTATGACTCCCTGATCCATTGACTGAAGAAGTCATGTGATGTTGGGGGTAAAAATACCACCTTTATGTCATGTAAAGTGCTTGGATGTTCAGGTGCATTGTCAAGAACAAGGAAAATCTTGCAAGGAATTATCTTGGCCAAGCCATAAAGTTCAGTAGCAGGGAAAAATTGTTCAAAGACGGCTATGGTAATTCAAACCTTTGCATTTGCCTTCCAATAACAGGAAGTCATGTGTTAATGATATGGCAAAGTGCAATTGGATTTAGGGAGTGGTACACAAGCATAGGCTTTCACTTGAAATCCCCAGATGTGTTGTTTGTAAGCAATAACATGACCCTATCCATAGTGCCTAAGGCATCTGACTGCTAATGAGAAGGCTGGTGGTTCAAACCCACCGGCAACTCCTCAGAAGGAAGATTGGGCAATCTATTTCCATAGTGATACTGCCTCAGAAACCCAAAGAGTCAGTGATATGAGTTGAATCGACTCAACAGCAGTGAATTTTGTTTTGTTTTATCCTTTGATGCCTTATGCCCTGGTGCATTCTTCTCCCACTTTTGAAATGTAGGTCCTAATTTAAGTCATTTTTCCCCAAAATAAGTCAATCTCATCTACATTAAATATTTGGTCTGTCAAATAGCCTCCCTCCTCCATAATTCTTTTCAACATTTCAGGAAAATCCCTACCAGCACTTACATCTGCACTCACTGCTTCATCTTGCACTTTAATATTATGTAAATTTGTCCTCCCTCTGAAATGACAAAAACAACCCCTACTCACAACAAATTCTTCATCATAATTACCTTCACTTGCTGCATGTACAGCTTTTAAATCATTGGAAAGTTTTTGAGCCTCTTTGTGCACTTAAGTAAAGCTAATGGGCATATTATGGTGATTTTGATCATCTGACCAAATTATCAATAGCATTTCCAATTCAATAATTAAACCACTGCATTGCTTAGTAATAATTGTAGCTTTCATCAGTGCACAGCCTTTCACATGCTCCATTATTGTCACTTTATCTTTTAAAATTTTTCCAATCATGGACTGACTATAGCCTAATTCATGATGGCATTTCACCTCTTTCTGATCACTTTATTATTTCCATTTTATTTTCAATCATGATCATTTTCCTTTTCTTTGATGCATCACCAATACTTCACAAGATTTATGTTTTGTAGGGATGGTTACAAAGGTAAATAAGAGGAAAATTTAAGCCAAACACAAATTTACACACTCAACATTGTTAACAGCAACATGTTCTGACTTAAAAAGGCAGAAGGTGTTTTCCTTCTTTCAGCTGACAAACTGTTGAAGGCCCACAATGTTTTCATGAGTGTCACAAAGTAGTGTGATCAGTCGTCATTCTGAACCATTATATTTAATGCAAATCTTTAATACAATAGGCTTTATGACAGGCCTTTCTTAAGTACAAATTGTCTGTAAATGAGAGGTTCTTTATCTGGGGACTTACTGTATACATGGGCACTGGCTTAGGGAACTTTAGAAAAGGACTGTATTAATCTCTTCCTCTTCTCTGATTCTCTATGGTTTCTATCATTGGCTGAGAGAGATGTGATTTGTTTTGGGCTCACAGAGCCCAAAGGCAGAGTTAAGAGAACTGGGAAGTGGTTCACTTGGCCAGTTGCGATCTGTTTCAGAATTGTAAATGGAAGCAGAGGTGACACAGAATCCAGGCTGCAGCCTCTGGCTTCCCCATCCTTGCTTTGCTGCCTTAGGAGGGTTTTAAGTGGCACTGACCAGTTCTGGCTCAGGAAGCTAAGATCCTGCAAGTGGGTCTGGAATAGTCTGCCCTACTTGTATAAACCCTTCATCTGGTTTGGCTGCGATGAGTGTCGGCACCCACCTGAGAGTTTCAGAGGTAGTTTCTTCCTTCTCCCTACTCATCACCCAGGTATTCAGTCTCAATGATGGGCTCCCTACCTCAGATTTTTGATTACATGCAGTTTCCCTACTGAAGTGCTGCTAGCCTTGTCCCTTTCCCTTGAGGGTTGGATCCCAGTCTCATTCTCCATTCCCACTAAGACCTCTTGTGGTGACAGATTGCCTGGACCAAGACTCAATGCCATGCCCCTGGCCGGATAATCCCTGTAGTGCCCCACTGCTTCCCTGACCCTACCTCTAAGGATCCAGCCTACATGCCAAAGCACAAGGATAAACTCCCCTGAGTGTGGGTGCCCAAGACAAAGGCAGCTCCTCACCCCAGGTCACCTTCCTTCTCTTTTCACCCACCCTAGGATCTAAAAATTTCAGTTTGAGAGGAAATGGGCCTGAAAGCCAAAAGCAATCCTCTTTCCTCTTCCAGGAATCCCTGGGTAATGCATGAGTTATATGCTCAGCTGCTCACTGAAAGGTTGGAGGTTCAAGTCATCCCAGAGACACCACAGAATAAATATCTGGCCATCTACTTCCAAACAATCAGCCACTGAAAACCCAGTTCTATTCTGACACACATATGGTTACCATAAGTCGGAGTCCATTCATTGGCAAATAGTTTTGGTTCATCTATCTTAACTTTCCACCTCACTGTGGATTTGCACTTAATTCTTGGGGAAGCCACTTCATGTCTGGGGTAAAAAAAGTGTTTCCATTTTCAAAGGCCAGTTGAGGGGTGTGGAAATTGTAAGTGAGGCCAACATAACTCTTGAGTTATTTAAAATTTCTCTCCAAGTCTAGATTTGCTAACCAGAAGCCTCCATCTCCTACATCGGACTTGCCTCACTGACATGATAATCTGCAGTCAATCTGTACTCTTCAATGCCTTCAGACTAAAGAAGAAAAACTCCTTAAAGTAGTTGTTTTAAAGTCTTTGCTCTACTCTTTTTCTCTTGATGTGCTACCCCTCCCCCTTCTCCCACTAATTCCTGCTTACCCTCACACTTCTCAGGTGGGTGGAGGCAGCCCTGTCTTGTTCTCTTGGCTGACCTACCTTGTTAGAAGACTGCTTGTAGGAGAAAGATGTGGGCTTCTCAGAACCAGGCCCAGACTATGGTCCAGGCTGGGCTTGAAAGTGAACCTCAGAGACAACCACTGCTCTCTTTTGCTCCATGTCCCACTATTCATCTTGAAAACAAAGCCATACAGAACCCTGAAGTGAGAGGTTTGGGGAAACAAACTTGGGCAGATGCTTATTTTAAAGTTTTGGTTGCTATCTGTCCTCTCTGCTTTTCTGTCCTTTCTGCTATCCCTGTTTTAGCACTGACTGGCTCATTTTGCCCTGAAACACAGTTTTCTTCCATGTATCTCACCACAGTCACTCCAGGATTCTGGGAGAAAACCACAGTGAAGGTTGGAAGTACTTTATTTTTGGACTGAAAAGTACTAGAAAAGAACTCCCTTTATTGGGAGGTGCAGGGCACAGCGTGACTGGGAATAGGCCAAGAAGCTGCTGATGACAACTATGCATTAGGTGTGGCCACATTCATCCATGTGCAGTTAATCTGAGTCACTCTAAAGAGATTAATTGTTGGGTAGATTACCTTAGACACTAAAACACAGTAGACAGAGGGAAAGTACTCATTTCACAGATAATGACAGAGTCATTGGGGGTCCTATACTCCATAGCTCTCATAAATTATGTTAGTCTCAGGTTTAAAAGGAATTGTCCACATGACTTGGACAGATCTTACCCCATGAGGGTTGCTGTGAGTCCACCCCAGGCCTGGAGGTTTGGGCCCCAGGCAGGCAGAATCACTCCTGTTTTAATCCACTGTACACCTTAGGATATTAGGAATGAGGGGAAGGTGGTGACAGTCCTCTCTGGTGTCAGCCCCTAGATTGAGGGCTGTCAATTTTTTTCCAGGAAGGGAAGCAACCCGAGACCAGAAGGCAGAGAGAAAGGTGTGGACAAGGACAGAGGCCACCCTGTAACTTTCATTATGGGAAACCTAGATGACCCTCGGCCAGAGGTGACAGAGGCTGGGATAGAAGAGATAAACTGCCATGGTGGGACCAAGAAGTATGTCACCTGCTCAAGGAGGCACTAAGCTGAGAAGTGTGAGGACTGGGTATACTGTCCCTCCCCATAGAGCCTTGTCAGCTCTTGAGTCCCCCAAACAGCATGCTTCAGCCAATTCACCCTACTGGGCTCTGCAGAGGCAGTGTTTCTAGAAACCAGTGAAAGGAGGCTGTTGGGAAACTGCAGCTCTCACACTGAGCCCCTGGTCTCCTGAGGTCCTCTCAGTTTCTCAGGCTCATCCTTTCTTTCCTGCTCAGCCTCTGCATCTGGCTTTGTCTCAGCACTGACCCCCAGCAAGGGGGGACTGGGGAGGTAATGGAGGAGCCGGCCTTCCGGCTTCATTTCTGCCAACTCCTTGGCACAACAGCTGGGAGTGTTGGTCTCATAGGTGTCATGGAAGGTGTTGTAGTCTACTTCATAGAAGCCCTTTTCCAAGGTGAGGACTGGTGTGAATCGGTGGCCCCAGAGCACCTCAGTATCCATATAAGAGCTCCGCGCTTGGCAAGTCATGCCTAGAGGAACAGAGGCCACATGTGTTAGATGTGACTACATCCATCCACCCAACCATCCATCCATCCATCTGTCCATTCACCCATCTATGCCTCTAATCATTCATCAAAAACATTTATTGAGCATCCACTTTGTGCTAAGCACAGTGCAGCTGTAAGTCTGAATAAGACTCTATCCTTGCCCTGGAGGAGCTCAAGGTGTGGTGGAGACAGATTATAAGTGAACATGTGAGATTACAAAGTAAGTTACTAGAGATTGCAGTGAATAATTGGACCCAGAGACACAGTTCCTGAAGACAGCAATTAGTCTAGAAGAGTGAATAGATCTTGGTGGTCACTGCCATCGAGTTGGATTTGACTCATAGCAAACCTTCCTTGGGTTTCTGAGACAGAATCTCTATGGAAGTAGATTGCCCAACCTTCCTTCCAAGGAATGGCTGGTGGGTTTGAACCACCAGCCTTCTGCTTAGCAGTTAAATGCCTTAGGCACTATGCCACCAGAGCTTCTTAGGTGTAGCAAAATAAAGAGGCAGGAAAGGGGCTTGAAAAAAGGTAAATTCATAGTGAGTGAACATAGAGGAGCTGACTGGCATTTATAATGCATGGGAATTGTTTTAGGCAGACACATATGGGCAAAAGCCTTCACACTCACATATGTACACATACAGAGGAGGAGCAGGGAGATAAACACAGCTTGGCTCCCTGATTTCAGGATGCTCCAATTCTTCCATTCCCTGTTCACTAAGCCTTTGCCATCCCTGTGTTATTTTTAGGTGTTGTTTTCCCTCCAGAGAGGTAATGAATGAATGTCTCTGTACTGAGGGTCACAGGAAAGCAGCTTTATGATATTTAATCTTCTGGCCAAAGAAGGTACTTACTTTTGCCCTTTGGAAAAAGAAATCTTCTCCATCTCCCCACTTTGGGCTTTCTTTGAGCCAGGTCTCATCTAATTAGACCCAGGCCAAAGGCTTCTTCCCACCCATTTGTGTTCCAGGGCCTGCACACTCCTTATGGGCTCATAGCCTTCTCTCTTGTTTTCAAGGGAGGCCTGACTAGACCAGGTCTCCATATTCAGTCTTCTTCCCTTGTTGCCCATGGCTCCTCCCCTCCACTTTCAGTTGAGGTGTTGAGGCCCAAGCTGGCACTTAGCCTAGACCCAGATCTCTGCTGCAGCTCTTTGAGCCAAGCTTCTTGGGTTCCTCCTGCCCTTCTTCCTCTTGGAATGTGGCTGTGGGTACCTTGTAGCTGGAAATCCTACCTGTGTCTTCACCAGCTGTGGTTCCCTGTCATCTTTCAAAGAACTAGGGAAGAAAAGGAGCCCCTGTATGTGTCAGTCCCTCTGCTTTACATACGTTAATCCATTTAATCATTTTGTCCTCCCGACAGCTCAGTGATATGTATTATTGTCATATTGCTGACAGACTGAGCAACTTGCCCAACTCCCACAGGGAGTATAGGGCAGAACTGTGTTATTCAAACCTAGGTCTGAATTTGAAGTCTATGTTGGCTTTATAAGGGTGACAACTAAAGTATTAAAGTCAGTGAGATCAGGACAGATGAGGGTGGTCTTTTCCTCTTCTCTATCTGGGTCTCTCCTACAGTCCCGAGGACAGCAGCAAGAGTAACCCAGGTTGAGAAAAGGCAGTCAACTAGTCACACCAGGTCAACTGTAGGTCCCTGACTCTTTGGGAAATGAGAGGCCCTGTTCTCTCTGCTGGGGGTAGGGCTGGCAGTGGGGATGATCAGGAGGTAGGGTGGTAGGATGTGGCTTTGTTGTGTGGCACCAAGTTTCTGACCTATTCCTTTCTTTTGGGGTTGTATGGTGGAGCTCTTTCCTCAGAAACTACCTATCCTCTGACTCTGACTTTAGTACCAGGGGCAGGGTGACCAGTGCACCCCAATCTCTGCCAGAGTCAGCTTCCTGCATCCTGTCTGTCCTAGACCTCTGGGGCTCCTGCAGCTACCTGTGGCAGCTCAACCACGTTTGCATTTAGCCACCTCTGGCACCATCCCCTGAAGTCCTTTAGCACCCACCCCAACCCTGTTCCACCATATCTGTGACTCCAAAATGGGAATGTGTGTGACCATACCTGCAACCAACTTCCCAAAAGACTAGGACAGTTTGGCCACCTTTCTAACATGCCCCTAATATTTTAGGGGTCAGTGCTGGTGATGCTATGGTAGGGTATTTGCCTGTTAACCAGAGGGTCAGCAGTTCAAACCCACCAGCTGCTCCATGGGAGGAAGATGAGGCAATCTATTTCTGTAAAGACATACAGGCTTGGAAACCCTTTGGGGTTTGTTCTGAGTCAGAATCAACTTGTTGGCATGAGTTTGGTTTGGTTTTGGTGATGTAGTAAAAGAGGCCTGGTGGCACAATGGTTAAAGTGCTTGGCTGCTACCTGAAAGGTTTGCAGTTCTAACCTAGCAGGTGCTCCAAGGGAGAATGATGTGGCAGTCTGTTTCTGTAAAGATTTATGGCCTTGGAAACCTTTGGGCAGTTCTACATCCTGTAGGATCGCTGTGAGTCAGTTTGGTTTGGTTTGAGTGGTGTACTAGAAAAATTCTAGATTTGTAAATGAAAGATGTGAGTATGGCAACTTACTGAGCTTCAGTTTCTACATTTGTAAAATGAGTATTAGATCCAGCCCAAGAGTGTTGTTGCAAGAATTAGAAAAATGTATATACATCATTGAGAGCATAAATGAGTTTTCTATAAGTTGTTAGGGACAGAGTTGATGTTAGGGCTCAGTCTCCTTGATGAAAAGAAAGGAATGGAAGGCAAGAAAAAAAGGAGAGAAGAAGCAGGGTGTTAGGTTGCTGGAGGGATCCTTTCTTTAGGAGGTTTGGCCCCAGGTGGTGGTGGTGGGATTGTGGTACTAAGAGCCTCAGGCGTGGGGCTTCCTGGAACCATCTCATGGAGATCTTCCCTGGTTGAGGGGCTGAGGAATGGTGCAGGCCTGTGAGAACCAGTAGCTGAGCAGGAAGTTGCCAGGCTGGCTACAAAGAGGGCATTTTCCCTGGAGTGTCTGGATGTTGAGGCCTCAGCACACATGCACTGTTTGTTTCTGCAATGAAGAAGCCCTGCATGGTCCAGTGTTCTCTTGCACAAGCTTCTGTAGGAAAGCTGATGGACATACTGTTCCAGAAGGGGCCCCACTGGAAGAGCAGCTCCCACAAGCAGGAGCATAGGTGTCTCTCTGGAAGACAATTCCAAGAGAATCATCTTGAGTTTGGGAAATGCTGCACTCGACCCTCTCCTCATGAAGGGAGTCACAGTATGTAATGACACCATAGGTTATTACTGCAGAGAAACCAGTTGTTTAACCCAGTGTTTCCTAATGTTATGTGATCAAAGAACTCTTTTTGGGTAGAACATCTGCTCCTGGACATGTTTGGCATGTTGGAATTGAGTACTGACCTAGGAGTCCCCCTGCCTTTATTTGTTTCCTGGCTCTACCACGTACTAGCTCTTGCTCTTGAGCAGTAATTTAACCTTTGTTTCCTCATCTGTAAATTAATAATCTCATAGAGGTGTGGGAGGGAATTAAATAATATATGTTTAATATTTAGAAGAGTGCCTAGAAAATATTAAGGGTTCAATAAATGTTAGCTATTGCTGTTATAACAACTTTGGGACTATTTTAGTTGGTTGGTTGTGCCTGTGCCACCTGATGGAATCACAGTGGCCTAAGTTCCTTGATGTGGTAGGGGAACTCAGTGCCCAGGAGGAAAAAGTATCTTACCTGTTGCCTCTACCATCCCTTCTAAAATGACCACGACTTCAAAATCCTCCTGATCCAGCTGAGCACGGGACATCTCCCAGAAAGGGCTCTTCTCATTGATCTCATGGGAGATGATGAGTGGTGACACCAGGAAGAGACGGTCATCTCCAGTGTCAAAGCCTACATTGATGTCAGTCTGGTTCAAGGGGATGAATTCCCCTTCTTTGGTCTGCCGGGACTTTATGAGCTTGGCACGGATGGAGGCCTCTACGATGTGAGAATTGCGGAGGTCACCCACCCGGAACATGAGGCAGAGCTTTCCATCCCGCATGGAGATGACAGCATTGTTGGAAAACATGAGGGTCTCTGCTCTCTTCTTTGGCTGACTGATCTTGACAAACATGCACCCCACCATGAAGGCATTGACAATGGAACCTAGGATGGCCTGGACCAAGAGGAGGATGATCCCCTCGGGACATTTCTCTGTGATGACCCGAAAGCCATATCCAATGGTGGTTTCAGTCTCGATGGAGAACAGGAAAGCAGACACAAAACCACTGAGATTTTCAACACATGGAATCCAGTTTTGGTCACCTACATGGTCCAGATCACCCCGGATATAAGCTATGAGCCACCAGATAAAACCAAAGAACAGCCAAGTGATGGTGTAGACCATGGTGAAGACAAGTAGGTTGAAGCGCCATTTGAGATCCACCAGGGTGGTAAAAAGGTCACTCAGGTACCGGTAGGTTTCCTGGACATTGCCATGGTGTACATTGCACTTGCCACTCTTCTCCATGTAGCGTTGACGGGGCTTCTTGCCTTCTGCCAGCAGGCGAGTACGGTCTGTGGCAATGGGGACAAAGTCACGGGCCTGTTTGGGAATCTTCTTAGGGTCCCTGGGAGTGCCTCCAATCTCCATATCCTGGTTCATAGTATTCCTAGAATCGCCAGCCATAGCAGGGATCCTTTGAGTGAAAAAAGATATCACTAGTGAAGTTAACTATGCTGATTCACAGGAACACAAGGCTGTAAGGTCCCTCCCAACTTTGTGCTCTTCAGGGCCTCTCATTGATCACTCAGTTGATCAGCCTATCACATTCTCAAGGTCAGGAACCATACTTTCTTATATTCTTCACTTGTATTCCTGGGTCCTAGTGCAGATTCTAGCATAAAATAGATATTCAATAAATATTTGTTGAATGAATAAATAATTCCTAAGTGCCAACTTTACATTAAGTGTATAAAGAAAACTGGGAGGAATTTTGAAAATAAAAATCTCAATAATTATGAAAAGCATATTATGTTCCATGCATTGCACATGGACTATCTCATTATCACCACCACAACCCAGTGGAGTTAGATCCTGTAATTCCCAGTATATAAATACCGTTTTGTTTGCTTACATTTTATGTCTATTTTTTGTCTACCTTCCTTCATTTGAATATAAGTTCCACAAGGGCACAATTTGTGCATATTTTGTTCCTAATTTTTTCAACCATCTTCAGCACAGCTGATACATATTGGGTATTCAAAAAGCACTTATTGGATAAATGGATGAGTGAAAAAGAAAACCGAGTCCTAAGGATGGTTAAGTAACACCCAAGCCACCAAACAATTGGCAGAAATGATATTTGAATTCTTGCTTGTCTAGCCCTGAGCCTGCACTCTTTCCTTTATACTTTGCTGTCTTCATTCATTTCATCTGAGATCTTTTCACAGCAGACATAAAGGAAAAGGCTGTGTGTGTCTGATCTGTCATTTGGTCACTCCTGTTGTCTGAGTACTCCTGCTGTATCAGTGAGGAGTTTGTGTCATCGGAGCACATACTAATAAGATAAATGTTATGTAGACTCACCACTAAAACACTTGATACAGTTTATTCCCTCCTCTCCAGGAATTGAGATAGGCAGGATATTAAAGACCCAAGGTTTTCAAATGGGCTGTAACACGTTTTTGGAGTGGATGTCACACTTTGAAGAGACACCCAGAAACCTGTAACAGTTTACTGTTTTTCTTATATTCTGTTCACACCCATTTAAAATGCTTTTAAGACTCATGTGAACCTACGCAACTAATAATAATAGCTTATATTTCTGAGCATTCATGATCCAGGCACTGTACTAAGAAATGTCTATCCATTACCTCTTTTAATCCTCACAACAAAGCTATTAGATAAGTATATTACCATCATTCTATTTTAAAGATGAAGAATGTGTAGCTTAAGCAGTAAGTAGCTGAGCTAGGTTTGGGCTCTTGATTTATCTGGTTTGAACCCAAGCACTTAACTCTAGAGCATACCATAGTGCCTGTAGACACAAATATTCTATAGCTCTTGCTCAAACTGCTGAACAGATCTCTCCAGAAAGTTCTATGAGCATCTGATGCTAGTAGAAGTCATCTTAGGGGATATTGTCACTCAGCCTTTCTTATTTGTTAGAAACAAGCTTTTCTTGATTACTTCCCAACAACCTGAATAAATGTTCTATACTCACTGAGCTGACTGCCTCACTTGCTAACAATAAAGGACAGGTGACATCATGGCAAGTCGAGTGATTCTGGCAGACTTCCCCCTTTGCTACCTGGGTAGTTGCAGCAATTTCCAGGTAATCGTTAAAATATCATTTTGTAAAGTCTTATGAAGGGCTGTTTGTCCCAGGCATCCGTTGGCCATTTCCTATTCTGCACAGGGCCACCTGCTCCCTCCTCCATTACTTGGCATTTATGAAGATAAATGAAACAAGGAGCATGCTCAATGCTTTTCTGCAGAAACCCAGGCATGAGTTTGCTCTGGCCCGAGGTTGTTGTTGTTGTTGTTGTTATGTGCCATCGAGCCAAACCTGACTCATAGCGACCCCTCCTTGGGTTTCTGAGGCAGTATCACTATGGAAGTAGATTGCCCCATCTTCCTTCCAAGGAGTGGCTGGTGGGTTTGAACCGCCAGCCTTCTGGTACAGGCAAGTGCCTTAGGCACTAAGCTACCAGAGCTCCTGTGGCTCTCCTGCTGGGCAGGGCACGTGTGCTGCCGAGAAGAATGAATCACTTTGTTAGGCCACTTGGGAGACCACAATCTCTTGCCCTCAGCTCTTTTGGGAAAAAACTTTTCTGCCGATTTTCTGCACTGTTTCCTTCTTTATTTTTAAACATACTCTCATACATTTGTGTAGAAGGGTTTGTGCTGTACTAGAAACAGAAAAAGTTTTTCTAGGACACCTCAGCCCAGATCTGAGCACTTTTGCATCGGGCAGACAGGAAAAGGGGGTTGCTTTTGATTTGCCATCTGGATGCATTTCCCAAGTGTGCTGGAATCCTCTGCAGAAGTTATTCCTTGCTTGACCCAGGGTGAGCTCCGAATTCTAAGTCGGCTTCCCACAGACTTGTTCTGTAGTTCAAATAAAAACAGTTCTAATTCTCTTTACCTCAGTTTATCCTGATATAAGTGTGGAATAATAGTCTCTGCCCCTCTGTCTGGGGCCTGTTCTTTGGATCCATGGAAAGAATATATGAACTCCTACATGAATATAAGTGCAAATGTAAATATATATGTATAAACTTTCCTTGAACTGATATTTAATGCAAAGATGTTGGTGATGTTGTTATTAGCTGTAGTAGAGTTGGCCTCCAACTCATGGTGACCCCGGGTACAAGGAATGACATATTGCCTGGTCCTGCATCATCCTCATTATCATTGCAGATCAGATCATTGTGATCCTTAGGGTTTTCATTAGCTAATTTTTCAGAAGGCGATCACCAGGCCTTTCTTCCTAGTCCATCTTATTCTGGAAGCCCTGCTGAAAGTAGTTCAGCATTATAGCAATATGCAAGCCTCCAGTGACAGACAGGTGGTGGCTGCTGTCCATGAGGTGCATTTGCCAGGAATTGAACCTGGGTCTCCTGCATAGAAAGGAAGAATTCTACCCCTGAACCACCACTGCCCTCATATTAAATATATTAAATGTTAAAAGATGAAGAAAAAGAGGTATGAAGCACCCAATCAAGTATCAAGCCCTTAGTAGGTAATTTTCAGGACAGGCACTGAGCTGACAGCAGTTCCACCCTCCACAACCCACGTTTCTTCTAAGAGCAAAGGAAGTGCCCATCCTAGAAAACCTGACCACCAGTGCTTCATGTCTGTCAAATCAAAAGGATTTTCAGTGACAATGGAGATGAGCTTTTTAAATCAGATTTTCAGGATCCACTATTAATTTATGCATTCAGCAAGCATTAATTAAAGACCTACTAGGAGCTCTGGTGGTGTAGTGATTAAGGCATTTGGCTGCTAACCAGAAGGTCAGAAGTTCAACCCCACCAGCTGTTCCTCGGAAGAATGGTGGGGCCACCTGCTTCCGTAAAGATTTACAGCCTTGGAAACCCAATGGCAGTTGCTATGAGTCTGGATTGATTTGATGGCAGTGAGTTTGTTTTTTAAGTTTATAGTATGGTAGTCCCCAATTTAGGACTATTTGAGTTACAACAAACTGCACTTAGGACCATCAGCTTTTGTTTTTGTTTTGTATATCTTATTGTTAGTAATATGTACTACATACAATTTTGCAGCATGTGAATTGCTGATGTTATCATTCTCATGGCAACCCTCAAAGACAAATAAAGATTAGATTTATAAAGATACTGACAAGAAAAGTCAATAATAATGAAAACTTAAAAAAAAAAAAGGTATTTGACTTAATGTCAGAACAGACTTAGGAGTCATCAGAACAGAACTCTATTGTAAGTTGAAAAGTATCTGTACAGCTGTGGCTAATAGGTAGCTCCCTGGGTGATGCAAAAGGTTAAGTCCTGGGCTACTGAACAGAAAGGATGGTGGTTCAAATCCACCTCAGAAGAACAGCCTGGTGATCTGCTTCTGAAAGGTCAAAGTCATGAAAACCCTATGGTGTACTTCTACTCTGACATACATGGGATCGACACGAGTTGGCATCTACTTGACAGAAACTGGACTGGTTTTGGCTAGAAGCTGGAGATGAAACAATGAATAAGACAAATGCAGTTCCAGCACTCCTTTAGCTTACATTCTAGCATTGCTTCTTTGAACCTGGAAGCCTGTGCAGAATTGCCTATAGAAAGAAAGGCAGAAAGGCTTTGGCCGGGCCAAGATGAGCTAAGTTTTGTAGCTGCGCTCTGCAGGACAGAGGCTAAGGCTCTAACTTGAGTAAATCCTACAACATTCATCAATCCTGTTACTGCTCTTGATCTTGAATTCTCTCCTGTGTCTGTGAATGAGGAGCTGTGCCAGACAAAACTTAAAGTCCAGCAAGGTGTTTTAATCTCTTTGTAAAAAGATAAGAGAAGAAAGAATCAAAAGAAGCAAAATCAAAGGAAGATGTACTTTAGATAATGCATTAGTGAATCTAATATCCATTTAAATGGACAGTATCAAAAGAATTCCATAAAACACCCACCCACATTGAGGAAAGCTTTGCAACAAAGGTGCTCTAGAACATCTGGAGTCATAGACATAGTGCTTGATAGAAGCTGCAGTGGGGAGTCCACAGGGTTTTCTGGAGAGAGCACTGAACTGGAGTCTTAGATTCCATTTCCCTGTGAAATGGTGTTATTCCTGTGAAGATCGAAATAACAACCTTACCAGTTTCCCCCTTTTTGTCTTATATATACTGGGCCAAAATATGGATTCCCTGAGATTTGGGGGATAGGATGAGGTTGAAGGAATAGAAATGGAGGATACATTCATGTCAAATATTCAGAAACTTGTACATTATTTCATTTGAATCAGTAAATGATTCATATGATGAACAGGCTGCCTAGACCCCTCAAGGACCTTTATAGTTAGCAAAACATCATTATTATTAGGTGCCATCGAGTCAGTTCCAGAGACCCTATGTATAAAAGAGCAAAACACTCCCTTGTCCTGTGTCATCCTCACAACTGTTGTTATGCTTGAGCCCATTGTCACAGCCACTATGTCAATCCATCTTTTGAAGACTTCCTCTTTTTTGCTAACCCTCTACTTTATCAAGCATGTTATACCTCTTCAAGGACTGCTCCCTGC